CAGGTACTAGCAAACTTTATAGTTGAAATAACAGGCCATAAGGAAGTATCATTAGTAGGGAACATGGAAACTAAAGATGCATAAACAGAGCATGCGCGAAACGAGCAATGGAAGTTATATACTGACGGATCTTCTTGTGTTGAAGGGGCTGGAGATGGTTTGATATTAGTAAGTCCAACATGTGAGGAGATAACATATGCTCTAAGGTTCTACTTCCCGGTGTCAAATAATGAGTTAGAGTATGAAACACTTATCGGATGATTAGATATGATTGTTAAAGTAGGTTGCTGACACATGAATGCCTTCATAGACTCCATAGTCATCGCTAACCAGACTAACGGCCTATACGAGATTCGAGGTAAAAATCTAGTATAATATGTAGAAAAAGTTAAGGCATTAAAAAGCAGTTTATAAACTTCAAGTTAGAGCATATACCAAGATCAAAAACAAAAGGGCGGACGCATTGAGCAAATTTGCATCCTCAGCATTCCCGCATTTAACTAAGAAAGTGCAATAGTCCAAACCAAAGCAATCGAGTAAGCATTGGTGGTATCAATGGTAGAAGATTCGAATACCTGGAGGAAACCGATAATGGAATATTTGTTGGAAGGAAAACTACCACATGATGATAAGCAAGCCTAAAAATTTCAAATTAAGGCACTATCTTTTGTGTTTCATAATGGAGTGTTATACAAGAAAGGATACTTGGCACCACGCTTACATTGTGTAATTAACAAGGAAGCATAATACCTCATAACAGAAATGCATGAAGGTATCGCGGGAGCACATGAGGGTGCACGAACAATAGTGAGGAAAAAAGTAGTGAGGATAGTGTATTATTGGCTGATCATGTACCAAGATATGGAAAACATAATCTATAAATGTGAGAAATGCTATAAGGTCGCACCGATCCCGAGGAAATCATCTACGCTAATGATTAGCATCAATAGCCCATGGCCTTTCGTGCAGTAGGTTATAGACATTGTGGGGCCATTCCCAGAAGCAGTGGGGTATATGCATAGCTTTCTAAGAGTCATAAACTACCATTTTTGATTAATGAGAAATGTTCCTTGCATCTTTTGGATATGATACATTGTAATCTATAAGGCCATGCACCTATTTTGTCTACTTATGGTTATGCTTATTATGTTATATTCGTTGATGATTTTTCGCAGTTTACTTGGTTTTATCCGTTAAAACACATGACAGACTTTACTACGGTTTTAAAAACCCTTTTATCATTTTTCCAAACACAATTCTCATGCAAGGTCAAAAATTTTCAAACTGATGGTGGCATTGAGTTTCTAAACAACCAGGTTAAAGCTTTGTTTGCTGAAAATGGAACACATCATTGAATTCATGTCCTTACGCCCATCAACAAAATGGGCGTGTTGAGCATAAGTATCACCATATTACCAAAAATGGCCTTGCTATGCTCTTTAATGCAACCGACCCAACCTCTTTATGGGTTGATGCTTTTAGCCCTGCATTTTATATTATAAATCGATTACCCTCACAAGTTTTAGAAGACCAGTTTCCATTTGAGCTCTTATATATTTCATACACAACCAAAATTTCACGTGTTTTATATGTTTAGATGTCGAGTCTTTCCTTACCTAAGGAATTACTCGAACCATAAGCTCGTCCCTTGATGCCTCCCTTGTGTTTTTTTGGGATATAGCACTTAGTAGAATGGTTATAGATGTCTAGATATGACCACTTCCAACATTTACACCACCCGCCATGCTAAGTTTGATGAGACCATTTTTCCCTTTAGTGGTGACACCTCATTTGTGGATGATGCTACTCTTCCTCTCTCTAACTTTGAAGAATCGGGTAAAACGCTATCGCCCAATCAAAGTCTAATGTTGCACCCTCACCTGTTGTTCCATATCACCCTTCATCACTGTCTCCCAGCCTAATTTGCCCAAATTATATTTCGTCTTCTACTTCAAATTTTGTGCACGAACCAGCCTTTGCTGATGAGTCGGTATCTCATGTTCCTGCCAGTCCAATCTCACCACCTTCCCTCGTTCTTTCATCTCATCCAATTACCACATGCGGCAAGGCTGGTATCTCCAATCCTCAACACTTTCTTGATTTCACTGCCATCACTTCGAGTACATTATACATGGATCTTGTTGCTCATAAAGACCCTAAGGGTTTTAAAAGTACAGCCAAACATTAAAAATAGCTTAATGCTACGATTGATGAAATTCAAGCGCTTCGCAATAACGATACTTGGGATTTAGTTCCTTGTACATCTACCTCCAACATTGTTGTTTCCAAATGGGTGTTTCGCACTAAGTATCGATATGACGGCTCCACCAATCGATATAAAGCCTGCCTAGTTGCGCAAGGTTTTGTTGAGGTTCCAGGACTAGATTACTCTGACACTTTCAATCATGTGGTGAAAGCCTCTACCATACTTCTCATACTCTCTCTTGTTGTTCACCAAAATTGGGCGCTACATCAACTTGATGTCAATAATGTTTTCTAAGATGGACATCCTAGTAAGACTATTTCTATTGAACAACCACCTGGTGTCATAGAGTCCCGCTTACCCTCTCATGTGTGTCATTTAAATAAGGCTCTTTATAGGTTAAAACAAACTCCTAGCGCCTGGTTTCAACGTCTCAGCTCATTTCTTCTTCAAGTAGGATTCACCTGCAGTAGAGACGATCCTTCTTTGTTTATGTTTAAACGTGGGTCTTGCATTCTATATCTTCTTGTTTATGTTAACAATATCATTATAACAGGAAACAATAAGGCTTCCATTTTCGAGTTTATTACTCGATTCCATCATGAATTTGCCATCAAGGACTTGGGGAAGTTAAGTTATTTTTTGGGTCTTGAGGTTATCTATACCCCTGATGGTGTATTTCTCACTTAAACAAAATATGCCTTGGATATTTTGTCTATAGTAGGTCTATTGGATGGAAAATCGGTCCGTACTCCCCTTGCTACATTCGAATCCCTTAAAAGTCACGGTGAACCTTTTCATGACCAAACTCTCCATCGTTCCCTCGTTGGTCCCTTGCAATACCTCACCGTTACCCACCTTGATTTATCTTATGCAGTAAATCAAGTTAGACAATTCTTGTATGCACCTACTACTACTCACTTCCAAGCTATCAAAAAAAATACTACGCTATGCCAAGGGTACAATCTCTTTTGGTCCCACATATCGAAGATCATCCATCATTCCTTTTATTGCATACTCGGATGTTGATTGGGCACATTGTATTTAAACAAGGCGTTCCACTTATGGATACTCAAACTTTCTTGGTGGTAATATTGTTTCTTGGAGTGCTAAGAAACAACCTACAATGTCACGTTCTAGTTGTGTGTTAGGATATAGAGCGATGACTAACTCAACTTCTGGAATCATTTGGATTACTCATCTCCTACGTGAGCTTCATATTCCAATTTCTTCTATGCCATGTTTATATTCTGATAACAAAAAGTGCTATCTTCTTAAGCCAAAATTCAGTTGCCAACAAACGTGCAAGCACATCGACATATATTTTCACTTTGTTGGATAGTTGGTCACTTAAAGTTTTACAATAACTACTTTAACAAAAGGGTGAAAACACAAGGAATAAGATGAAATAGTTTCACAAAGGAAGAAAATAGTAAGGGTCATATCCATATTCATAAAAAACATGACATTTTATTGCATCGATCAAGATTTGAAGAATTTGAAAGGAAACTAAGGAAGACCTAGTAGTAGTTCAAATCCTTTCTTCACTTGGCTGAGGCGATGCATTTCTTGGCTCTTCTTCAAATAATTTCTAAACAACGTGATCACAAATGGTATCCCAAACGGCATAGCAATCGAAATTCCAATAAAACCAAAGGTTATATAACTATTTCGCGCAATTGCATTCATGCAAGCAATGTAGGTTGCACTGAGTGCAATAATGAAATCTTCAATTCCAATTGCAAAGGGAAAGCATCTGTGAGTATGTAAATCATGTGAAGTGACATGTAGAACCTCATGGAATTGGCAAACATAAATATATTGTATGCTATTGGATTTTGGGTACCCATAATAGCAGTTCCTGCGGTGTGTCGTTTAGTAGAAGTGGTAATATTTGTGGTAGATGATAATGTATTATTGCTTGCGGATGGAATGGAATCATCTTGCCAAGCACCTCCCAGAGGACTAATTGTTGGTTGATAGGTTGTAGTTTTGATCAGAATAACAACCACGAGAAGGGTATTTCTTACTATGGTAGGAGACACTACTAGAAACAGTGGTTTTAGAGACGGGCGAATCCGTCGCTATTCCGTCGCTAAATGTTGTTTGCGATGGATCAGCGACAGATTCACTCCATAGGTAATTAAAACGTGGCTAATGACTCAGCGAGGGTTTTAGCGACGGATCAGTTTTTCGTTGCGACAAATTTAGCGACAGAATATCCGTCGCTAAATGTCACTCAATACATTTACCCAAGACATTAGCGACAAAATTTATTAAAGACATTTCGTCGCTGTTCTGTGGTAAATTTCCCTGATCAGTTTTTTTTCCGTAGCTAAACCCATTGCAAAGTTCATATACTAAATTTTTTTTCCGTCGCTGATCTGTCTCAAACTTTAGACATGATTTTTTCCCATAGCTAATCCCTCGCAAAAATCATAAATTAATTTTGTTCTTTTTCCGTCGCTGATCCGTCGCAAACTTTAGACATGATTTTTTTCCGTAGCTAATCCCTCACAAAATTCATGCATTATTTTATTTTATTTTTGTCACTAATCCGTCGCGAACTTGTAATATCATTTTTTTATTATGATTCTAAAAGAAAAAAATACTACAATCATCAAATTATTATACTAAAACATCAAATAATGATACAACCAAAAGCAGCACAGAGAGCAGTAACAGATCTAATTGTTATAACATATCTGAAATCATGATGATGGTTTTAGATGTAAATAAAGATGAAATTACAATTACACCCTTCAGAAAGAAATGTTGTATGCTTACACTGCTCCATTCATTCCATAACTAGCAAAAGTAGAGGCGATAGGGTATCAGGGTCTAATTGGGAACATGGCACCAAACCAATCACAACAGCAGATACAAGCATATACAAAACACAACATGTAAACCAATCCCAATAGGTAAATCTCTCTGAGGATTCTTCACCTGCAATATAAACAATATGAAAATTACAATTATACCCTTCAGAAAAAACAATCACAATCACTAGTATTACCTCTTCTGCTGTGCTGGTTACTGCATCAAAACCAACATATGAGAAAAAAACGGTTGCAGATCCAGCAAGTACTCCATTAGCTCCCAAATAAAGTTTCCGTCGTCGTTCTCTCGCTAAACGGATACCATATGGCACAATTTTTTATCCCTCGCAGAACCCTAGCTAAGTGCCTTCATTTTTCGAGTGATTAGCGAGGAATAGTGGTGCATCGTTAAATACTTGCGAGATCCGTAGCTGATCCCTCGGTAAATCCTCACTAATATTCCATATATTAAATAAATAAAATAATTATGAAAAACATGGTAGATCTGTCGTATTTCCCTAGCTATAAGTCTAAATTTTGCTAGAGAATAAATCTGTAGCAAAATCCGTAGCTGAAACTCAAGTTTCTAGTAGTGAGATTCTTTGAGGTCCATTGTATTTGAAGTAGTCTAACATAGCTCTAGCTCGAGATTAAGGGTTTTCATGTCTTGTGTCATGATGGTTTGGTCTTTCTTCTTGTGGATAAGTTGGAGATTGTATCTTTTCAGACTTTAAAGCTCCCGCTTGGACAAGAATCTCCATAATTTCCCGATCACCAGCTTCACTTTGGAACATTAGTAGCATATCAAGAGGAGTTAAACCTCTATAGTTTAAGGAATTCAACTCAATCTTCTCCTAGCTGGTAAATTGCCAGTTAAGTAGATAGTCAACTACCTATCAAAAGCATAAACTTTGACCAAAAAATTCCTAAAGACTTGAGGTACACCAGACAAAATATAGCTAGCCTACGTACCTCATATTGCTTCATAGAGACGAAAAGGTGTAAGGCTGTATTGTCGTGAATGTCCTTAGAATTCAGAAGATCTTCCTTGTTTACTTGCTTCAGATGTTGAATCAAAACTTGGAAAGCTTCGAATTGGTTGTTCTTCACTGCTAGTTGGAGCGAAGTCTCAAATCGCGCAGTCATGCAGTCCACAGAATCCAAGCTCGCCAAAAGTAACTCTCTCACAACTTCAACTTTACCTTTGACCACAACCAAACGAAGAGGAATTTTTCTGTCTTTTCCTTTGATCAAACATAAATCAAGGTCAACGTTGAGAAGCTCACAATTTCGGCATGCCCACAAGCAGCTGCTATGTGCAAAGGCGTAAAACCATCTTGGTTGAGCTCCCTGGAAAAATCCTGCCTCAGATTGATAATCGTCGATACAAAGTTGACATGTCCAGCAAAACAAGCTACGTGTAATGGAGTCTCACTACCCTCCCATGCTAGAGCATGAATCATAAATGGGTTGTTCTCGATCCGTTTAAGAAGTTCATTAACATCCCTATTCCATGCTGCCTCAATCAGGCTTCGATTCATGGCTCTACGAAGAGAAATCATGTTGTGTTAATCTTTCCATTCTAATAAATGAATAAGTTTATTCTCCTAACAAGTGTCATAATATTAGAAATACTCATTAATATTATATGTTACCTGTCATACCACATGTCAACCTATTAATTCTCCATTTTAAATTTTAAATTTTAAATTTTAAATTTTAAATTTCTCACTCTAATTACATTAAATTAATAATTGATTCTTCATTTTAAATATTAGATTAAAAAATAAAATACAATTAATATATATTATAAAGTGATATGATTTCATGTATTTATAGAAATCAACGATTATAATTTTATATAACTAAAAAAGTATCTCTTAATTAATAATTTATTTAAAATTATTTATTTGAAATAATTGATTAATAATTTTAAATTTTTACTATGAAAGTTTAATTAATTTTATAACCTTGGTTTTCACGGGTTATAAACAAGTTATTTATGTACGCTCACGAAGAGTTTTTAATATTAAGCAACGGGTTTGCCAGGTGTGTAGGTAGAGCTTGTAGTGGAGTCAATGAGATTAGGATATAAGGACGCCTCAAAGGATAAAAATATTAAAGTCAAGTGATTAGCTCGATGATCAGTTGCATTTAAATGTTATCCTAATAAAAAAAAATTCTTTGTGATGTAATTAAATACTACACCCTAATAAATTTTTTGAAAACTCCATAAAAATCTTTATGTTTTAGATTTATAATCGATTTATTACCTTAAATGTTTTTTTATTCAATTAAGTCCCAAAAACCAGCAATCGTATTCATTTTGAACCCTTTAACCCGGTCAACCGATCATCCCACTTTCTAAATTACAGTTTTGGCCTAGATTAGAAATTTTAACACAAATTTGGTCCACAATTTTGACACAAATTTTAAAATTTTGTTAAGATTTCATCCAAAATTTAGTTTTTTACATCTTTTTTTTTTCAAAAAGAAATCTGAATATGTTTTGTTTGTTGTATAAAATCATATCTATACAAAAAAAACATATTTTTCACATAAAAACCCTTTTTTCTCTAAGTTTTGTTTTTACAAAAAACATTTATGTATGCAAAATAACCAAATAAAAACCTTTTTAAAATATTTTTGTATGCAAAATTCTTATTTATAAAAATATTTTTTTTATTATAAATACCTATTCATAAAATGTAGTTATGTGAAAATGATGAAAAATATTTATGTTAAATATGTTATTATACTCATATATATATACCTTAAAAAAATTTAGAAAATAGGTATTTATTTATTACATAGAATTCATTTTGTGTTCATATAAATAAATAATATATACAAATCCATTTTCATAAAAATAATGTATAAAAACACATATTTTATAAAAAATATATACAAACACCTATTTTGTAATCAATGTATTTGTAAAGTATATATATATATATATATATATAGTATATATATATATCTATATATATATATATATATATTATATCTATATTATATATATTCAAGCATGTTTTTTAAAAAAACAAGTGAATACAAAGAACCAAATTTCATAGTAAACATATTTGTGTATATTTATATATAGAAAACCTGTTTTGATAAAAGCATATTTTTTATTAAATATAAATGTATACGATATGATTTATACAAACACGTTTTTATACATAAATGTACACAAATATTTACTATAAAATATGTGATATTATATCTATATATATATATATATTATTATATATATCTATCTATCTATATATATATATATATCTATAAACGTGTTTGTATACAAAACCTTCTTATAAATAGGTATTTATATGTATGCATTTTTTTGTAAACATCCATTTATATATATATATATATATATATATGTTTGGGTGTCGAATCCATCAAACAAATAAATCCTATTTGCACTCATATGATTTAAAAAATGATAGTAATAGTGGCAAACAAGGTCGATCCTCGGAGACTCGGTTTTAATCCATAAATACACCAAAATAGTCATGTTTTTTCTCTATTGCATAAAAAGTAAATACGGAGGAGGATTTTGAAAACGAATAAAATTAAATTGAAATATGGTAAAAGGAATACTAGAAATAAAAATAAAAACAATCCGATTTCGAGTTCTATTTTCCTAATGATGCAAGCTAATAATGATTGATGTCAAATTGAATTCTAATCTAAGTTGGTACTTGGAAACATTAACGAGCTCTAACACTTCCCATTCACCAAATTGTTTAACCAAAACAAACTCTTTGAATTAAACCTAACCCTTCTAATCTAATCTAAACAAGCTCTTAGAATTAAACTGAAAGATTGCATTAAGTTTTGTGTGAATGTTCCCAACAACATCCAATACTCCTCACAAGCTCGGGAGCGTAAGAATGTGTGATTTTGGTTTACATTAAAAATCGTTCAGTGGAAATCAAATTAATGTTTATTACTTGTTTTAATTCACAAAACAATTACGGATTTTGTAAATCAAATAACTTGAATGATCTAATCCTAATTCAAGTGGCCAACATGAATCAAAATTAAAATCAAACTTTTTAATTAATACAAAACCAAATTCACCAGATAGAATACAAATTCAACATCAAATCATATGATCAACTACATAAAAAGAAAATTCAAACTACAAAATCGGATGTGTTAACTAAAATACGATAAATAAATACTACAAAGTACTAACTAGTTGATGATTGAATTAGCATCAAAAGATTTATTTAGACGTGTGATCATGGATTGTTACGTGCAATGATTTTTATACAATTCCTAGTTTGGTCGCGGTTGTCAACAAGCTCTGACAACCCGTTTCGCCAGACACTCGATTAAAACAAGCTTTTTAACCAAGCTGCAAACTTATCTAACTAAAATGGGTGCTTCAATTAGAACTGACTCACTACAAAATTATCAAACGAGCCATTTGTAATTAGGTGAGAGCCGCATTAAAACACAAACGAAACACCAAACACAATGAACCCTCACGTAAGTTCGGAGAATTTACATTGTACCAACATGATTTCATAACACAAGTGTATTATTTGCTACTTAGACCAATTAAAAGAACAATTATGAATTCAATTAATTGATTGGCAATTCATCATTAAAATCCTAACCGGGTTGCTCAAGCCCAACTAAAGTTGTAACAACGAAATTAATGAAATCAGAAATCATATGGATAGGAGCGTATTAAATCTAAATAACAATCTCACACAACGATCTAAAACGAGTCTAAATAATTAAACTAATTCAAACATCAAACCCGGTGGTTTAGCAGTTTAAAATGGCTAAACCCCGGAAACTACAATTCAATCAACGAAAAATAAAACTTACTACAAGAAACTAAGATTGTTTTGATGCTAAATAAATCTTCAAATCGTCGTTCTCGCTTTCTGTTTTCGCTGTGCATCTGGAGTTGTTCCCCCAAAAAAGATGTTGCGTGCGTGAATATATATCCTCCAAAGAAATTGATCCCTCCTCTTGTTGGTCACGTGAGTCTTGTTTTCTAAATGTGGGCTTGTGGACTTTTACCATAACATTGACATTGGAGTTGCGTTATAGACTAAATCATGTGGGCTGTCAAAATGGATTTTGGGCTAAACTTAATTCACAATGGGCTGCCATTTTATGAAGTTGGGCAGAATTTTGCTTCTGTTGACGTGGCCCAAAGCTGCAACAAACGTACTCCAAATCCGATCTCCACCGTTCAAATTAAATATCCACGAGTTATAAAGTCACCGGTAATTTCAGCTCGATCGGACCTTGTTTACCCTTCGATCCACTCACTTGATTAAGACCGCACAATGCTTCCAGATTTCCAAAAAATCTTAAAATAGCTTCCTTTTATTTCTTTATCGTGGACACTGTTATGGGACTTCAATTGCGGTTGTAAGGCCTTCCATGTGACTTTTATCGGTGCTCAAAAATGTCATTATCCGCTTACATAAATCTGTAAAAATTAAGCTTAAACAAGTAAAATTGTCTCAAACTAACGATGCAATGAAACATATGAAATGCATACTAAATATACACAATATATCGTGAACATAATTAACAAAATGTACTAAAATGATACATAAAAATGAACCTAACAATATATATATATATATATATATATATATATATATATATATATATATATATATATATATATATATACACGCACACAAAATATTTTTATATAATTAATGAATATCTATTTTATAAAAAAAATTTAAGGGTATATATGGGTATAATAACGTATTTTACATAACTGTATTTCATGTATTTTCAGATAAATATGTTTTTATAAATATGTATTTAAAATAAAATAAAAATTATTTAGGTAGTTTGCATACACAAATGTTTTTTTAATTATATAGAAACAAGAAGGTTTCTTATGTAAAAAATATGTTTTTGTATAAGTATGATTTTACACAACAAATAAAACATATAAGAATTTTTTTTTTGAAAAAAATATAAAAAAGCTAAATTTAGGCTGAAATTATAACAAAATTTTGAAATTTGGGCCGAAAAGTATATTATTTCGGACCAAATTTGCAATAAATTTTAAAATATAGGTCAAAAGTGTAACTTTTGAAAGTGAGATAACCTTTTGACCCGATAAAAAGGTCAAAATGAATACGACTCCCTATAATTTTTGACAGAAAAATCGATATGGTTCAACCACTACCATTTTTTCCATATGGAATTTTTGAAACATGAAAAACAAAGAAATGACCCTTAACTAATGGGTTATATTAATTTTATATTATATATATCTTTCATACATTTGGGACAAATTTAAAAAACAAAAGGCAATCTATTATGAAAACCCTATTAAAATGAATTCATGCATTAACTTCTTGATTATTAAAAACATCCGGACTTTTTCTTTTTATTTAAATGTGTTCTTTTTTACCGGTAAACCAAAATTAATAACTTTTTTTTTGTTCAAATGTGTTCTCAGTAAAAGAAAAGTCCATGTAAGTGAGCAATTTTTTAGTGACGACCGAAATTTGGTCACTAACAACATCTTTTAGTCACCACATAAAGTTATCACTGAGTT